GATTCAATGATGCTAATTCTAATAGTAACAGCAACTCCACTTTGGTACCTCAATTCCTGCAACAGGGAACTGGGCTCAATTGTAATTGACATAATCTTTTCCATGCTGACCTCCACATCTGTTGATGGCCCTGAGTACAAACATGCCTGGGTAACATGCTTGGGTAACATGCCTGGGTAACATGCCTGAGTACATGATGTTTATGTTTAGTGGTGCAAATAAAAGTTTAAAAGCAGTTAGTCAGAAAATTGAAATATTTTGCTTTGAATTGCAGTTTAAAAATACACACACCATTGTGTGTTTTAAATGCAGGAACAAACAGGACGAGAATGACTCCATCATGTGTATTAATGGGGAAAAGACAGAATAAGTTGCATAATGTTTTGGATGCTTAGCAATTTCCATATCTGGCTAATCTTTTGAAATAAAGAGTTTCTTATTTTCACTGGCAACAAAATGGTCCTTTGATACAGCTTGATTTGCTCTGACTTAAATTGTGGCTAAAAATTTCTGCCATCTCTGCTGCTGAGGCATCCTGACTTTAGCTGCGAAGGTGGACACAGCCCCCGTTTGCTGGTCCAGCATATGGGTAATGGCATTGCCAGTTCATCCTGTAAAAGGATCTGGTGCAGTTCATTGAGTCAGAATGAAGTTATAGTGAAGGAGGGGATGGGGTGGAGTATTCTTCACTTGTGTCTCCATCCTGAGAATGGGTTTGGCACATAGTTGGAACCAAAACACGATTATTGAGTGAACAACTTTACATTCACTAGCCTGATTTTTTTTTTTTTTTTTTTTTTTTTTTTTTGAGATGAAGTCTTACTCTGTGGCCCAGGCTGGAGTGCAGGGGCGTGATCTTGGCTGACTGCAATCTCCGCCTCCCGGGTTCAAGTGATCCTCCTGCCTCAGCCTCCTGAGTAGCTGGGACTACAGGCATGTGACACCACTCCCAACAGCTAATTTTTTGTATTTTCAGTAGAGATGGACTTTCACCATGTTGGCCAGGCTGGTCTTGAACTCCTGACCTCAGGGGATTCACCCACCTCAGCCTCCCGAAGTGCTGGGATTACAGGCATGAGCCACTACACCCAGCCCTAGCTTGAAAATTTGGACTAACAACCATTTGCCATAGGAGTGGAGAATTAGGGCATTGGTTTGGAAAAGAAACAAAATGAATAATTCTATTCTGAACAAGTTAAATTTGAAACCACGTGCCTTAAATGTTTTTTAGCTTCTTCATAATTTACAAGTGTGCTATGCTGATTTCATTAGCAGCTATTTGCTATAACGTATCAGGGTCTAATTTTTTGGGTATTAACATATCCATGTTTACATCTATTTTAAGTACTGTCCAAATTGAAGGGACTGTGGCTGTGCAGCTCATTCAGGAGCAGGAAACTAAATGGTTGGAACACAAAAGAATGACTCGTCCTATGCTCAGAATATCAAATGACACACTCTGAAAAGTATAAGAGGAATGGATGAGATGATGTTAAAACAAAAAAGGAAGAAAAAATGGTGCTTTTAGGGACAAATAACTGATTAAACGGAAATTACCTTTGCACCCATTTTAAAAACCAAGGCTAACTGCTACAATGTCATACTTCAATCAGAGTGTCTGATAATTTCTCTTTAGGTAAGATAAACAATAGCAAGAAAATAACCCAGGTTATTTGGCAAGCCTTCAGCAGGGTAGAGAAGGAAACTTGGAAAGAAGAAGGCTTATGAACTTTGGTACCTTAGGCTACTGAAAACCCACATCCAGAACGTCCACCTTCTGACATCATGGTCAGCTCCTGCTGCAGCTCCTTCTGCTCTCACCAGAGGTGTGGTTAAGACCTCTGCCAAGAGATCTGCTGCCATCCCAGCTGCTGCCAGAGCACCTGCTGCGAGACCATTTGCTGCTGCTGCAGCTTCTGTGGGTTCAGTTGCTACCATCCAGTCTGCTGTCACACCACCAATCTCCTGTGGATCCTGTTGTTGAATTTCACTCCTGACCACCAGCCTGAGTCAACCACAAAACATAGGCCTTTTAAGGAGAAGGGTTATCTCTAAGCTGTCTCCCCTGCCTTCAGACAGAGAGGGCTAACTATCTCTAAACAAACAAATGACCATAGAACTGTGGCTCAGTTAGACCAGAATCCCAAGCCTATGATACCTGCACTTGTTTTGACCTTGACAGTGACTTCCTTATGATACATTAATTAGGTCTGCAAAAACATTAATATTCTTGTTGGCATAAACAGTTGAGCCACATTCAAACTAAGTACAAAAATCGTGTTATAAATAGGAAAATGATAAAACCACAATCATAGCAGAGACTTTAAACACGCTATTTCAAAAACGGTCATTTGAAGAAGAAAAGTAAACAAAGATATGGAGAATTTGAGTAAAATCATTAATAACTTAGATGGAATGGATATTTTTATACCATCTTATGCCTAACAAATAGAATTTTCATAATTTTTATATATACCCCAGTCATAAAATATGTCCATAAAAATATATTCTAAATATGTTCTTGTATTCTTTCTTCCATCCCCTCTTCCCTCCTTCCTGAATAATTCGGTCTAAATGGAAAGTAGGTGTCTGCATGGGATAGGGATGGCCTAAAGAAATAATATTCTTAATTTCTTTTGTTAAAATTAACATCATTTTGCACATACAGAGAAATTGCAAGAATAGGTCAAAGAGGTTTCTTTGGTGATAAAAAGAAAGTGATGCTTCACTGCCCCTAAGCATGAGTGTGTGTTGCCTACATCAAGGGCTTTCCCTTCTATAACCCCAATAGAATTTAAAATCAGGCTTTATTCTTGCAAACAATGTTGCAAAGAATACCCGTGAACTTATATCTTGGAGCGTATGTATAGGTGCATGTGTTGAATACATTTCTAGAAGTGAAACGGCTCAATCAAAACACATGCACATTTCAAAATATGGTAAATTAATTCAAGATACTGTTAAATTTCAGATTCTGTTAATTACCATCTAAAGAAGTTGCCTCAATTTAGATCCCTGCCAACTGTGTATTAAAATGTCAATTTCCTTATAATTTTACTAATTTATTGAAGTTTTTAAACTTAAATATTTTACATTTGTCATCGCAAATAGCAAGTATTCACTGCCATATCCCCAGAGCATGCAGTAGAAGCTGGCACACAGTAAGTATTCAGTAGATGGTTTGATGAATGAATAAGTTGTTCAGTTAAGCAATGGCAACAAAAGCCAAAATTGACAAATGGGATCTAATTAAACTAAAGAGCTTCTGCACAGCAAAAGAAACTACCATCAGAGTGAACAGGCAAC